TGACAACAGGTGGCTGATAGACGGAAGTAACAGCCACAAACTCCAGGCAGGCCAGGGAGAGACTTTGGCCAAGTACCAGCCGGCGGGGAGGCACATCCCCTGCCTCAGCTGAGCTCCCCCACTCCGCTCCAGAAGATACCCGGGACGATCCTAGCTGGGCCTGAGACAGCAGGCTGGGGTCAGAGCCCCGCTCCAGAGCACAGGGAGAGGGGCTTCTCCATGGGCTGCAGGGGAAGTCCCAGCTGGGAGAGACCTTCCCCTGAATATGTCACTGGGGCACATCTGGAAAAGAGGTTTCCTATAACTGTCCCACGCAGGGCTGCCTATACCCTCCCAATCCTGGTAAATACCCCCCAGGGCTGCCTCTATAACCCCCCATCCCCCACACACCAGGGCTGCCTATAAACACCCGACACACCCACACCAGCCTATGACCCCCGCAGCCCCACGGCTGTGACCTCCCAGTGTCCCGCTGCCCAGAGGTCCTGGGCTGACAGCACCTGCCCCGGATCAGGCCAGTCTAGCCCCGTAGCCCTCTAGTGGCCTGTTCTGGAATAACCGGCCTGGAGTTAGATTCTCTCTCCACCTCCAGCCCTTAGGTCAGGGGTGGGCAAACTTTTTGGCCCAAGGGCCACATCTGGGCATAGAAATTGTATGGCAGGCCATGAATGCTCACAAAATTGGGGTGGAAGTGTGGGAGGGGGTGAGGGCTCTGGTTGGGGGTGCGGGCTCTGGGGTGGGGCCAGAAATGAGGAGTTCGGGGTGCAGGAGGGGACTCCGGGCTGGGGATAGGGTGAAGGCTCTGGCTGGGGATGAGGAGTTTGGGGTGTAGGAGGGTGCGCCAGGCTGGGACCGAGGGGTTCAGAGGGTGGGAGGGGGGATCAGGCCTGTGGCAGGAGGTTAGGGTGCAGGAAGGGGTGCAGGCTCTGGCTGGGGATGAGGGGTTTGGGGTGCACGAGGGTGCTCCGGGCTGGGGCAGGGGGTTGGGGCACAGGGGGAAGCTCAGAGGTGCAGGCTCCGGGCGGGGCTTACCTCAAGCAGCTCCTGTAAGCAGCAGGATGTCCCTTCTCCAGCTCCTACACGGATTCCCAGCCAGGTGATTCTGCATGCTGCCCTGTCCGCAGGCACCACCCCTGCAGCTCCCATTGGCCGCGGTTCACAGCCAATGGGAGCTTCAGGAGCGGTGCTTCAGGTTGGGGCAGCATGCAGAGCGCAGTCCCCTGGCTGCCCCTACACATAGGAGCCGGAGGAGACCATGTCGCTGCTTCTGGGAGCCACGTAGAGCGGCCCCCGACCCTGCTCCCCGTCTGGAGCGGGGCAAGCCCCGGACCCTGCTCCTCAGTGGGAGCTCGAGAGCCGGATTAAAACGCCATAGTTTGCCCACCCCTGCACTAGGGCTAGGATGGGACACATGGGCTGACAGCCCTTTCAGGGCTATTATAGTTCATATAATGGGATGTTCCCAGGATCCATGAGAACACTACTGCTCTCTAAATCCCACTGACCTCTTGGCCTCAAGCATACCATGTGGCAGGGAGTTCCACAGGTTACGTGTGTATTGTCTAAAATACAACAGCATTTCCTGCTGCCGCTATTAACTACACTGCCTTCCCATTTCACTGAGCCCCCCGTGTTCTGCTGTTAAGAGAGGGGCACCCAGCCACGCCCAATCCCCCTCTCTGTGACACTCCTAGAGACACACCTCGTCAGTCTCCGGTATGGGGCTCCTCTAAACCGAACTGCCCCAGCCTCTGCAGTCTCTTTATACGGAAGCTCGCCCAGGCCCTTTCCCCCACCCGGGACCCCACCAGACCCTTTCTGAAGCCGGGAGACCAGAGCCTGGAACTGCACCTCCAGCTCAGCCTCCCAGTGCAATCGCAGCAGACGCTGTCCATGTGCGGCCGCAGCTGGGGTTACTCTTCGCCCACGGCTGTGCATCAAGCGGGGTGCACGGGGCTGCCCAGGGCTCTCCCCTGAGGGGTCACAGGGAGTTCAGAGCCCAGGGCAGAGCGTGAGGGTCCAGATTACTCCTTCCAGTGCGTGCTCCCGGCATTGCCCACACTGTACTTCACCTGCCCCCACTGCAGCCCGCTCCCCTGCCTCGCTGGGCCCTCTGCCCCCTCCCTCGCCTGCCTGCCTGGGCCCTCTGCCCCCTCCCTCGCCTGCCTGGGCCCTCTCTCCTTCCTCAGTCCCCTCTGATTTTAACTAGCCTAAGTCATGTAGTGTCATCACCCACCTTCCTATTGCCCTGCTGTGACGGAGCAGGGAGCAGGGCAGATTTGACCTGGGAATGTTGCAGGGGGGATGCAGTGGGGATGTGGGCCTTCCCTTGAAGGGAGGTACATGAGGTGTCACC